AACAAAACGATTCAAAGCATATGAATTCAAAAATTATTTTTATTTACGTAGTTATCAGTAAATATGCACCAATAAATCACTTGATTTTCCTGTGATCAGCTTTCAACGGTCAAGCTAAGAACCACCAGCAACTTGCACCTTTTTAGTGAACTTTTGAGAGGTTAATAACCAAATAAAGATTTATCTACTAATCCTGGTAGGAAGACAAATTTTATATTTAAAACCAGAGGCAGGTTTACAAGGGTGTGGGGCCCCAAAGTCAGTTTTGGTGCCCTATCTACTGCAGAAAGATTCTACTAAGGCAAATTAAAATAAGTTGTGCTATTCATAAACGGGTATGAATTAATGCACGTTGGGTTAAATATGTCCCTAAGCAGTAGCTCCAGGTTCCCCAAAAAAGTACTATAACTTCTTAATTTTAAAGTATTTTAGTACTTGTATAAATTAAAATATTAATCTCAGTTTTCCTGATATGGGGAAAAGGTACAAAGCAATACAGACAGGCACTCCACAGAAATTGCCCTTTTAATAACTTTTTAAAATCTGGCCCATTTAATCACAAGATTATATTAAAATCAGTTAAAGTTGTTAAAACGCGACATTAATATTTTTAACACTTAATGTTTTGTCATCAGGGGAGCTACACAATCTATCGGAAGCAAAACTTCTGCACAACTTAAACTGAGTAGGAAAGGAAAGTCATTTTAACTTTGTCTTGCTAACAAGAAAGCAACATCTGATTAAATATGTAAATAGAATAACAAGAATTTTGACCAATTCTCTTAAAATGTCAGAAGTTGTTTTTAGTAAAATTACTACTCTGCTAAAATAATGAAAAGGTGTTTAAAACATGACTGTACAGTAGATGGCGCTCTCCTCCTCGTGAGTTGGCCTCAGACGAGTTTCAGGTAGGAACCAATTAGCAGAGACTATGAGCAGACGGAACGGAAGGCACGGACAGAACGGAAGTTTGGACGGTTGCTCTGGGTGAACTGTGACAGCTTCGCATCGAATTAAAACAATATTTTCCCCTCAGTGTTTTCCCAAATCCCTTCCCATTTCCCCTCACCCATGGCGTCCAACTCTAACATAGACATCGAAGGAGCGACCCAGCACCTCCGAGACATCCTGAAGCTCGACCGTCCGGGGAGCAGCGCCGGTAAGTGAGGGATGCTACACGGCTAGGCCGCACAAGCTAACTCGGGGTTAACCTCACTCTTTACCGTAGCACAGTTTACCCAGCGGGCGTTTCTTTAGCTGCTGATATAATACCTCAGTGGAGGAAATGTTTTTAATAGCAGTAAATATATTATTTTGTACCTTTTAAAGTCTGCTGAGAATCGTTTCTGTTTCGGCCTGTTAGCAGCTAGCTTGTATCTCAGTCTGTTTTCTGGTTGAAATGTGTCCCTGCTACCAAAACATTTAAATACTCGAGTTTCTCCCCCCCCCCCTCCACATATTTATTATTATTTTGTTCTAGCTATTTTTTGTCTAGACTCATTTAAACCCATTTGAAATATGTTAAAAACGTCTCTGTGATAAACTCGAATTCTTGGATAATTGGCGTCATTCACAGAGTTTCTTGATTGGCTGGAAAAGCACAGTAAATTAAAGTGTATAATAATAGAAATTCTGTCCACTCATTTTTAGTATCTCAGTGTAAAAAAGGAATTCATGGAGATTAACAGAAATGCACCAATGTGAAAATTTCTACCAATATCAATATCCAATATTAATATTGGAATTATGACCGATAAATGAACAAATACTTAATGATTTCTCCCCTCCCTTTCTAGAAATGCATATAAAAATCACACAAGATTGAAATACTTATTGGTTATGAATTTAGGCACATTTTTATTTATCAGACCAATATAGATGCGTTATGAGTAAAGTAATTGTCACAACAAAGTTTCTTCAAAGAAATCTGATTGTAATTTAGTGCAGTTACTGAAATATCTTCTATCTTAATTCAAAAATGACCAGAATACATTAAATAAATTAAATTAACTTTTGGTGTGAGTTGCTCATAGATCAGTTGAAATTAAAATGTTAAAATCAAATGTATTGAAAACGCAGATTTATCAAGAACTGCCATTTGCCAAAGTCAACACTTTTCAACGATTATCTAGGCATTAGACAACTACAAACACAATATGAGAAAAAACACCTAAAGGGAGTCTACCTACCTATTGCCCTGTGTAAACATTTCAGTTTCTCTTGGCTCAGTGTGATTTGGTTTGTTGTTACTTCTGTTTTTATTTGACTTTTGTTGCATGTTTTTATAGTTTTTCATTCTATTTTCATTTTCTGTTTTATTTCTTATCTCAGTCTGATCCATTTTAGTACTGTTCAGCACTTTGGTTAAACTAGTTGATCCTTTATTGAAAAGTGCTATATTAATATAATGCATAAATACAAGAACACACATTTTCTTATGGTTCTTTGAGTGTAAAAGATTATACAGGCCCTGCTTTTGCTGTCTATTTTGACTTAAAACTATTTTATATATATTTGCTAACTACTTTAATTGCAAAAAGTAGTTTAAAATTCACAAAATAATCTGAGTTGAGCTTAAATATGCTGTGTGAACATATATTCATTTCTCTACAGAAAATATAAATATGCAGAGATTTTCTGTAGAGGTTCAGAAAATCTCTGCAGGTGTTTGGAATCAAGTAGATGATTAAGGTGTGACACCATGAGTTTCCAATATTTGACTTGTCATTGTATTCTAATTTTATTAGATGTATCTGAATATTACAGCTGTGTTTTTTAAAGTGGGGGTCTCAGAAAGCTGGAGGGGAGGTTAATGCAAAAACAAAAAGTAATAATAATAAATCCAATACATTTTTAAAACACATTTTTTGTTACAAAATCTAATCTTTTTTCCCAAACATTATGATGAAATATAAATTACAATAATTCATTAAAAAGTAAATGCCAAGTTCCATTAAGGTTATATGCTTTTATTCTGGAAACTTCCTTGTTGAGGTAGCTATGGTAACGAAAGCAGTTCTACCTGAACAGGCTAACCGCAATAAACAAAAGAAAAGATAAAAAAGCAACTCTGTTTTAACTTCACTCGATAAAGGAACAAGGTTAGTAACGCCGATTAAAGTATATTTGAGTTTCAAATGTTTATAGAAAAATCCGGTATTTCTGTGTTAATGGTACTATTGTACTAAATTTAATAAGACATGCATAACAACAGATGGTGTAAACAGTTGTAATTTTTGTTATTTTTTCTTATCTAGCTTTTACATTTGTTGATGAAATCATCATTTAACAATCAGTTTTGACCATCTCAAAATGAACTGGTTGCTACATAAAATGTTATTTGCCAAGCTCTCGTTTATGATTGGCTGCCAGTCAAATTTATCAAGTCGCTTTGCTCCTCAAGCTAGCGTAGCTAGCGAGAAATGACCGAACCAGAAAAAGGCCCGCCGTGGTGGAGACTGCTTCAAAAATAGAGATTAAATCAAATTTGACTCGATAAATATTACATATATTTTAAAATCAGAATAGAGGATTGTGGTAATTTATTTATTTTTTTAGCAGTTATTACATAAACATCAGCAACGATGAGCAACGGTCAAATGGAAACGTTGTGCCCGAAAAGAGAAGAGGGGGAAGCGGGCGCTTTGACCCAGCTGAAGGCTAGGAAGCCACCAATTCCGACTCTCTTTCTGACCAATGTTCGCTCACTGGATAACAAAGTGGATTTGTTACATCTGAGTCTGAGTGTTTCTGTAGAGATGAAGAACTATGCCGTACTTTGCCTAACGAAAACCTGGCCATGTTACGTCAATTCGCGTTTCCCCATCAGATACGGCTCCCCCAGCGTCTCCTCGCACCTCCTCCGCACCGCAAAATGCGCGCTTGCTTGTTCAGCGCCCACAACTACGGACACTGTGAAAGGCCAAACAACGTGTTTCAGCGACGTTGTCTCGCATTATTCACGTTTTGCAACTGCGCTCTCATAAGACATAAACACACAAGCACACACACACACACAGAGGTGTATGTATGTATGTATGTATACAGATGTATGCATACTGTTAAGGAAGAATTTCTAAAATAGTTAACTTTGGAAAAAAGTTTGGCTCTCTCTCTTCCTTAGATCCCAGGTCCTCTCGGCAGGCCACGTGTAGCCACAAGGAAAACAAGAATGCGTGATGACATCACAGAATTACAGAATTTAATCCAATATAAGACTATGCATAAACTTAAAAGTAAGACAATGCACAAACTTACACCAGAAACTGCAGAACAACAGAAACATACATTGATTACCTGAGACAAAAAGAAAAGGCAAAGACGTCTTTGGAGAAGTTGCAAGCGCAAAATTTGATTTGTTACTTCTGTGTAGAAAGTTTTATCCTCTTGTATTTAATTTATTCAAATAAGGCGTATCTTTGCTCATCCAACCAGGAGCTATCTCTGACCCTCTATCTGAAGCCTAAAACCCCTGCCGTGTTTACGGCCTTTCACAGATGAGTGTGAAAAGCCAGAACTTCCACTGTATTGTTTTCTCACAGACAAAAGGCAGTTCAAACGATCCCAGCAAACCATCTGCTGGAACTACAGGTAAAATAAAGGTCAATAGGCCAGAACAAGTAACTGATTTAAAACCACAATTTAGGCCATTTGAATCAAGACATGTTAAGTTTTAAAACTAGCTTATTTTAAATTTATTTTCTCAACAATACATGCACTATGCCATTCTTATAGCTCTATGTAACCTAAAACCAGGAGAATGCTTAATTCTCAATGCTGCCCATCAGATACTGTCCAACCTGTGTTAAACTGGGATACAATATCTGATGGCTAAAAATCAACAATTGGGTGCTGTTCCCTCTGTCTTAAAGTGGTGGAACGGTTTCTGATTTTCATAATTTAACCTTCAGATAATCTGTTACCCGAACCAGAAACCCTAGCTGAATGCTGAGGTGAGACCTCTGCTGAAAGCTAGGGATGCTGCTATCAGGACAGGCGAGGCATCTGCACTCCAAGAAGTGAAGAAAGAACTGACTGCGGGCATTATGAGGGCCAAAGCCACATACGCCCAGAAAATTCAAGGTCACTTCACCACCATTGATACCTGGCACATGTTGAAGGGCATCAAGTGCATCAATAACTGCAACATTAAGGATGTACAATGCCAAAGGGAGCCCTCACTGTCAGATGCACTCAATAAGTTCTACGCCCGCTTTGAGGATCTGCTTTGAGGATACTTGTGCCACCACCTGGTGACACGTCTCTTTGTGTGACAACAGCAGATGTGAAGAAGACCCTCCAGGAAATCACCTAACCCTAACCCCGGAAACATCCCAGGGCAGGTACTGAGGGACTGCACACATCAACTGCCTGAGGTGCTGATGTGGAATTGGCAGACATCTTTAACACCTCACTGTCACTGGCATCTGTGCCCACCTGCTTAAAGACCACCACTATTGTCCCCAAGGGCTCCACAGTGACAGGCCTGAATGACTACCGACCTATAGCCTTAACATCAGTAGTCATGAAGTGCTTCGAGAGGCTAGTCATGACCCACATTAAAGACTTCGTCCACTTCACTGTGGAACCCCATCAGTATGCCTACAGGAAGAACCGTTCCACTGCTGATGCTATCTCATCAGTGATCCACACAGCCCTCACCCACCTGGAGAGCAGGAACTCCTACATCCGTCTGCTCTTTCTGGATTTTTCCTCAGCCTTCAACACCGTCAACCCCACAGACCCTGGTGCAGAAGCTCTGCTCTCTTGGACAGAGTCCCACACTGGGGAACTGGATTCTGGACTTCTTGACCAACAGACCTCAGATTGTCAGGATCCACAACAACGTCTCCTCCTTCATCACCCTTAACACTGGCTTGCGGCAGGGCAGAGTGCTGAGACCCGTCCTCTTCACTCTGATGACGTATAACTGCTTGGCAAGGCACCCAAGCTGTCATAGTGGAGTTTTCAGACGACACAGTAGTAGTGGGATGCATCACAAACAGTGATGAGTCCAGAGAGAAGGTGGATGCAGAGAACATTACCTCTGCATCAACTTGAAGAAAACCAAAGAGATGGCGGTGGATTTCAGAAGGAATAAGAATCCTTTTCAGCCCCTGTACATCAGAGGAACAGCTGAGGCCTCCAGCTACTGGCACCTGGGCGTGCATATATCCAGTGACCTCACCTGGAGTACCAACACCTCCTATCTGGTCAGGCAGGTCCACCGCGTCTCTACTTCCTCAGGAAGCTGCGGAGAGCTGGACTAAGGAACTCAGTCCTGAGGAGCTTTTATGGCTGTGTGGTGGAGAGCGTTCTCTGCACCTGCATCACAGTGTGGCACGACAGCTGCACTGCTGCTGAAAGGACGGCTCTGTAGAGGCTGGTTAAGGCTGCACAGAGGACTGTGGAGAGCAGTGTTTCCTCCACAGTACGATGGGCGCTCTTCATCATGAAGGACTCCACCCATCCTGCACACAGACTGTTCCAGCCGCTCCCTCAGGGAGGAGGCTGAGCAGCAGCCAGAGCAAAACCACCAGGCTAAGGAACACTTTCTTCCCTTCAGCTGTCAGACTCCTGAACTCAAGCTGCACCTAATTCAGCTTCACCACAGAGATTATTTGAACACACACACCTATGCATCACATAAATGACTTTATTTATTTATTTATTTAGTGTAGTAAATTTCTTTTTAATTTTAATTGATCATGTGATTCATTGATTTATTGTTTATTGCAGCAGGCCTAGGTATGAGGCACCATTTATGCTAAATGAATGTAATAATTATTGAACAGTGAATGAAAGTGAAGAAAAACATTTGAAAAGTTGATGTTTCTTCTGTATCAAAGGAGTTTCCTCAGCTAGAAATTAATGCTAGAATTGAGTGTCAGATCTCCAATTGCCAATGGGATCTCCAATTGGGTCGGATCAGAACTTCTAGAAAAATCAAATCGCTTTGCTGCTTTCCCTGCTCCTTCTGAAGTAAACATAGCTTTTAATTGTATTTCTCAGATATGCAACCAAGCGACGATCAGAGAAAACTGTCCTTCAACGGAGAGCTGAACGGTTTACTGGGAGCAGGACTTCTGGGGACCAGCATATCTGAATCCACCAGACCCATTTCCACTGACGGCAGCGTCCAGGAGAGCCAGAGGATGTGAGTGGCTACTCTTCATCTCTATGGCAGCCATTTTGTGTCCGTTTTTGTAAAGATATGGAAGCTGCATGTCAAATTAAATGGATATTCTCTGTTGTTTTCTAGCTGCCTGACTGGTGATGATGGGAGTACCTGCATCCCCATCGTCTTAAACAACGTGGAGATCGTGGCGAGTCAGGACTCAGGCATCAACAGCAAGGCACGGGGCAGCAACAAGGTGAGTTTGGATCAGAACCACATTAAATCCTGCTGCTCTCATGAATCTTTTTCATTGAGGAGAGATCACTCTTGTTTAGTCCTCATTAAAACCTAAGAATATTTTGGAGTTATGATTATTTTTTCCTATTTTCTTGTATTTTTATCTGATTTAAACTCTTCATTCAGGTTAAAATTCAACCTGTCGCCAAGTACGACTGGGAGCATAAGTATTATTACGGCCGACTGATAGCCGTGTCCAACTCCTTCCTCGCCTAAGCCATCAGAGGAGAGAGAAGAAATATTTGACAAATTTACTTTGATTAAAATGATTATTTGATTATTTAAAATTTAAAATGATTATTATTTGATTAAAATGTCACACAGACTTTATTTACTACTGGAACCAGAAACAACAGTTGAGTGTTGTTGGCAGATTCTCCTTTGGACGTTTGTGTGAAGCATAAATAAAATCAGAATATAAGATAATCTGCAAGTCCTTTTCAACCTATGTTCGATTAAATTCACTACAAAGACAATATATTTAATGTTCAAATGTTTATATATGTTCAAATATTTGCAATATTCATTGGAACATCATATATCTTGTTGTAGTGAATTCAATTTAATCTAGATGGAAAAGGATTTGCAAATCATCATATTCTGTGTTTGTTTATATTTTTCACAACATCCCAACTTCATATGAAGAGTTGAGCAGCTATTTTTCTCCATGGATTCAGATTCTTTGGTTGATTTTTGCGTGTTTTTGTTCAGGAGCCAACAACCACGCCATGATTCGCGTGCTGAGTTTGGATTTCAGTGAGCGCTCCTTGCTGAAGGGCTTCACTGGCGCCGTCACGGATCTCGCTTTCGCCCACCTCGACTCCTCTCTGTTGGGCTGCGTGGATGAGGCGGGAAACCTGATGGTCTGGCATCTCACACTCACGAGAAGCAAAATACTGTATCCTGACAGGAAGCAGCAGAAAAATGCTACGTTTTGGGATTTTTCATTATAGTTTAGTTTTATTTTGTTGTGAAATTTGTCTAATTCAGTTTCGTTGTTTTTATTAGGTAAATATTGTTTAGTTTTAGTCCAGTCTTTATTAGTTATGGCTGTAGTTTTTGTTTTTTCATACTTTGGTAAATTTTTAGGTGCAGAATTCAGAAAGGTCAAACTGCTGCACTGCAAAAACACAAAATCTTACAGAGTAACTTTGTCGCCAAAGTGCAGTTTCTAGTGCAGATATCTTACTGCACTTGAAATAAGACAAAACTAATTTATTGGTTACTTCTCAGCAAGATATAGCAGCTTGTTTTAAGTAAACATTTCCTTTATATTGTTGAAAAAGTGCTATTTTAACTGACAGATATTTCACTTATAACTTTGGAAAAATGTCTTGCTATAAGTGAAATAAACTGTCAATGAAATAAGTACCTTTTCTACAATTTTATGGAATTATTGACTTAAAACAAGTTGCTATATCGCGTTGAAAATTACATTTGCTCATTTATTTATTTATTCATATAAAATTATATTTGCTCTAGAAACTAGACCAAAAGTACTTGGAAAGATTTTGTGTTTTTTGCAGTGTGTATTTTTTGAAGATGCCATTTTCAAAAAATGTATTCAGTTATTGTTAAACAACCAACAGCGTTTTATCACAACTTTCGCCATTTCCCACACTAGCGTAATCGCCTCCAGAATGGAAAGCCGTAATTGGGAGCTACATGATGTCAACTGCTTGTGTGGGGAAAAAATAATTTCATATCAGTTTGAAAAGCTAATAAATTCACAAATAGAAAAACAAATAACACAGGGTATTATAACTGTGATTTCAGTATGTTTTAGTTGGTTTTATAAACTCAGTTTGTTATAGTTTTTCCTCATTAATTGGCATTTTTATTTATGTCAGTTAACAAAAATGCTTTCTTATTTTGAGTTTTTATTTTGTTTAGTTTAGTCAACTACGTTACCTCTGTATATCAAATTCCAGATATCTACCTTTATTTAGTATTGCACAAATAACACTAAATAATCTTAAGATTAAGATCTTAAACTCTGTGACAGCGGAGATGGATGTTTTCCTTCCCTCGAGTTTTCTTTAACCTGGACCAAACAGGGATCAGATAGTGGTTCATATTCAGCGTCCAGAAGACGCTCCACTGAACTCCCACAGACGCCTCATCTGGTGCCCTTACATCTTGGAAGACAGCGAGGAGAATCAGGACGACACCAGCCAGACGCTGGCACTCCTGCATGAGGACAGGGTAAACGGCTCTGAACACGAATCAGAAAATCCTACATGACAGAAAATATCCAGGACATTTCAGCAGCTATTCTCTTAATTCTAATTTAAATATTACAATTGTTAAAAACAGGATGAAAGTTCTAAAAACTTAACTAAAAAAGTCTGACAAACTTGAGGGTTTGCAGTTGTATGGAAGTGCATTACTGTCATAAAAGAAAAAAATAAAAGCACAACAGGAAGTTATAATTACGAGTTTTAAAGTTATCACAAGAATAAAAGTTATATTTTCAACTTTAAAAGTTAAAATTTTGATGTTTTATTTAAAGTCAAAATTATGAAATAGTAAGTCACAGTTTTGAGATACAAAGTCATAATTACAAGAATAAAAGTAATAATTTTGACTTTCAAATTCAAAATTATGAGATTCAAAGTAAAAATTATGAAATGTAGATGTAAATTTATAGTTTTGAGATACAAAACCGTAATTGCAAAATTAAATAATTTTGAATTTCTGTCATAATTATGACCTTAAATTAATTAAAATTATGACTTATTTTTGTAATTATGACAAAACTATGACATTAAATCTCATAATTACGTTCTTTTATTTCATGATTTTAACTTTGAATCTCATAATTGTGACTTTGTACCCCATAATTATGAGATTGAAAGTTGAAATTATGACTTTAACATTCGGAATTGTGACTTCCTGTTGTGCTTTAGTTCTTTTTTATATGGCAGAAATGTGTTTCCATAGGTTTGCATCAATATTAGTAGAAAATAAACATAAACTTGAGATTTCTCCATTTTCCTTTATTTACATTAACTTTCCCTTTTCCAGGCTGAGGTTTGGGACCTCGAAGTTTTGAGAGCCAATAACAGCAGTTGGCCAGTTGATGCCTCAGAAATCAAAGATGGCCTCATTATAGTTAAAGGACACACACAGGTACCTGGATTTTATCTTTCCCAAGAAGTCACGGCACAAAAACGGAGCATTTACAGAAGATAAAATATGTCAGATACTCCTTATAAGATATTTTTATTTGGCAAAAGATTTTGTTTTTTGCTGTTTGTTTTCTGTTAATATATAAAACTGTGTGCTCCTGCAGAGAGTCAGTGAAGGTGCTCTGTCCCCTGATGGGACCGTTTTGGCCACAGCGAGCCACGACGGTTACATCAAGTTCTGGCAGATCTACATAGAAGGAGGACAAGATAAGCCCAGGTAGGAGCGAGGGGGTTAACCACGATCATCAACAACATTTTGCTGCTGATCCAGTTTACATTTCTGCTCCTGTTCTGTCGTCCAGATGTCTCCATGAACTCCGACCTCACGAAGGACGTCCTCTCTCCTGTCTTCTCTTCTGTGACAACCACAAGCGGCAGGACCCAGAGTCGGTTCACTGAAACGTTGACGCTCCTCTGAGTTTCTGTCTGGAGTTTCACTAACGTTTTTTTCCCTGTTTTTATGTTTGAAGAGTTCCGTTCTGGAGGTTTCTCATAACTGGAGCAGACCAGAACCAGGAGTTGAAGCTGTGGTGCACAGTTTCCTGGACCTGCTTGCAAACCATCAGGTAACTTAAACAACAGATGTTTTTCCTACTTGCAACTACACCTGTCACAATAATAAAAAAATCAATTAATGGCAAGATAAATTAAAATGAGCTTCATAATTTTCATTTGACTGATTTATTGTTTTCCTCTTTCTACCAAAAACCTGGATAATAAAAGTCTTCAGTCTGGTGCTTTTGTCTCAACTAGCTCCTTTTTTTGAAGGACAGTTTTGTTTACACAGACTTCATAATTAATTTTATTTGTTGTTTCTGTTGTTTTACTTATTTTGTAATATTTAAAATGTCTTCCAGTTTCTGTATTAAATGTTTATTAAATTTTAAAGTTTATTGATTTTTAAGAATGTGCTCTTAAACACATTCTTAAAGTTATATTACTTTATAGTGGTCTCAAAACAACAATATTATCGTTTGTAAGAACTTCTGGGACATTTTATCATCCAACACATTTTGTTTCATGACAGACCAAGTGCAGCTCCTAAAAACAAAAAATACAGCATGCAAAGCTTACATTTTTCTTCTATTCTAACTGTTATACCAACGCTATCCATTCTTCTTCTTCTAGGTTTTCTCCAGATCCATTCAACTCTACGGTTCTTCCCAGTCTGAAGGCCAGTTTAGATCTTGCTGCTGAATACTTGATCCTCACTGATGTGCAAAGAAAGGTGAGTGGTGTAGTGTTTAAAGTAGGATTGAAACTTAATCATGATTAATCGATTGAAATAATCTAATTTAGTAATTGGTTAATTGTCAGAGCAGCTAGGAGTGAAACAGCCAATGTAAAATAAATAATAAATAAAATAATAATAACCATTAAATAATAATGGTAGTCAAATAGATTGACTACCATGGTGAATCATAAACTTCACAAAATCTTTTTTCAAATGCTTCACAAAGTGAAATTATGAATTCTAAATATAATGTAAAATAAATAATAAGCATGATGGTGCTCAGAGCACAAAGCATAGAATTAGACTGAATCGATCTACCGTCATATTTGGGAACATTGTTGCCAGAGTTGGGAAGAGTACATAAAAAATTTATTCATGTCAGAGTAGAACTATTTCAACATATTTTTACTCAAAAGTAAAAAGTATTTGGTAAAACGTCTACTCAAGTAACTCGAGTAACTGATCAAATTATCAATCATTTAATATTTAAAAATTACATCATCAGACTGAACAGATTATAAAAGTTAAGCTGAAACTAACTCTGCAGTGGAAATTATACAGTTATAAAGTTAATTTCTACTTAACTTTATAATTGTCATTGAAGAACAAAAGTTACAGTAATTCAAATAAGTAACAAAAAAAAATTTTTTTATAACATTTTCCCCCGAAAAAAGTTTCTTGAGTAAATGTAACTAGTTACTACCCGATCTGGAGGTTTTTACCATGCTGGGGCCGATACAGATGTGATGTGAGCGGCGCCTGATGGTGAATCCATATCGTCCTCCTTCAGGTCCTCTATGTGATGGAGCTGCGGCAGGACCTGGAGAAGGGCAAAGCGAGCTTCACGGCCGTGTCGGAGTTCCTGCTCACCCACCCTGTGCTCAGCTTCGGGGTGCGCGACGTGACCCACAGCCGCCTGAGGCACACCGAGGTTCTGCCAGCGGAGGAGGAGAGCGAGAGCATGTCGACAGGTGGGCGCTTTCCGCAGCCACACCTGGAGCCAGTCATTCCAGTGAATCTGAGTTGGAAAGATTCTCAGTCGAAATAGAAACAAACACATTGGCTCCTTTATATTTTTCAGATTTACTTTAGAACAGAGGTGTCCAAAGTGCGACTCGGGGGCCATTTGTGGCACGTAGACTGATTTTGTGCAGCCCACAAACATTATTGCGATAAACGATCATATTATTGTTTTGAGACTATTTTCAAGTAATATAATGATAATGGCATAATAATGCAATAACACACTCAAAGATCATTAAACTTTAATTTCTAATGAATATTTAACACTAAAACTTGAAGACATTTTAAATATCCAAAATAAATAAACAAAATAGCAGAAACAACAAATAAAATTAATTATAATGTCTCTTTAAACAAAATTATCCTTCAAGAAAAACGGTTTGTTGAGACTAAAACACCAGACTGAAAACTTTATCATCCAGTTTTGGTAGAAAGAGAAAAACAATAAATCATGCATATGGAAATTATTGAGCTCATTTTAATTTATCATGTGATTAATTGATTTATTGTTTATTCCAGTTCAAGATGAGACAAATTCATCCCCTTCACCACAGGTGGTTGATGCAGATGGAGACTTTTTATTTTTACGTTAAACTGGGCAAAGTTATTACAGACGAATAAGACTTACCATAGAAAATGCAAACCTAACAGGCTTTGATGCATCCAGATCGGCTTTTAATAAATTTATTAAACTTGGCCATGTGTTTTCAATAAAAGTGACTGAAATTGTATTTTTATTGCTCCAAAAATGTTTTTTTATTTCATACTTTAGAAATATTTGCAAGAAAGTTTGCTGTATTTTTTCCTCTTTAAACCCTGTTCAGAATCTATACAGAGGAAAAAAAAATTGAGGGGAAAAACAAGCGCTTTTATACTTTAAATTTTTGGCACTGAGTCGACCACAAATTTAACTCAGATGGACGAGGCAGCAGTGTAGTAAACCTAAAATACTGCCACCTGCAGGTGGGAATTGGCATCACTTAATGGTCAATGTTTTGACCAGAAAATGTGAGATAAAATCAGAAAAATGTTAAATACAAACACTCATTGATCCTGATTTAACCAGCTTTTCCTGCTTTCTCCACTAGAGGGCACTCAAGGACCTGCAGAGTCCAAATCTGGGATCCAAATTAAACTCTACTGTGTTCACACAAAGTAAGTTTTCTTCTTCTGTCTGTCTGGATGCGGCTAACCTGATGGTGAAACAATAAACTACAATTTTTAAATGACATCTGAGTTGGTAAATGCGACTATTCATTTACCAAAAACAGTGGTTGAAAACTATTGACTTTTTCAATCCAGAACTGTGACTAGTGACAGTTATTTATGCAAAATCAATCAGCAGAGTCACTGCAGAAAGAGTTACTTTAGTGTTTACTTGTTTGTAAAGATGAATCTTTGTGGTTTTTGCAGTAAAAAAAGGTTTAAATCAACATTTCTCTGAATGTGTTTGTCTCCATGTTTGTGTTTTAGGAGTTTGCAGGACGTCCAGATCTGGTTTCAGCCCAACGCGGGGTTCAATACGCCGGGTTTTATTCCCCACTCTGACTCCCAAGATGGTTTTGGTAAGTTAATGTTGAACTGTGCAGTTAGATTAGATGAAGTTTGCTGATTGATGGACGCATCAGTACTAGTTAATAAAATAATACGAAGCATAAAGACATGATTGATTGATGGATGGATGGAAAGACGGACATTAAAGAAGCAGTAATATGGAAGATATCCAGTCGATTGAGCTATATATATATTTTTCAGTTCTTCAGTCATTTGAAATTTGAAAGTCAAAGTACTTTCAAATGTTTCAGGAACTCCTGATGATTCATTTAGCTTCTTTAGAAATCTGGACTGTGGCACTAACATTAGCGTTAGCTGCTACATGCTTAGCATTGAGATGCTATTTTAGGCTTGAATAGCTTCGCAGGTAGGCTAACTCCTTTTAGCACAACTTGAACATAACTACAGTATTTTTCAGCGTCCAATCAGACCTGTTTTTGAGGCAGAAATTAACCCCGTTGGGCCCAGAGAAACCACTATAGCTGCTGTTAGCAGATGTAGCTTGTGCATCTAGCCTTGCCAGAAACGCACAAATACAAAGGTTCCACTTGGAACTTTTGTACAAAAAAAATCTGATTAATTGTGTTTTAAAAAAATTCACGCATTAAGATCTTTACAATTAATTATTTTAGTATGTTAAATTCCCACTCTAAATAAATTAAATTTAATAGGTAAATATCAGTTATCAGAACGATATCAGTCCAGATTGTTTTCTGTCTTTAATTCTGCTTTGTGCTTGTTTTTCCCCAGCTGGGTTTCCGGACCACCTCACCGACCAGAGCTCCGACAAAGATTCTGGAAGTGGCTCGCAGTCCGACCTGAGGAAGATCCCCTCACTTCCTGTTCCCTCTGACTTCCTGTCCAACTCTGGGGCATCCGGCGGGTCGATGCCCAAGCTGATGACTCCTGACGCCTTCATGACACCAAGCACTTCGGTACTGATTGTAACTCCAATCTTTTAGGGTGTCATTTGCAGAGTTGGGTAGTAACTAGCTACATCTACTTGAGTAACGTTTTGGAAAAATGTACTTAGGAGTATTTTCACTACATTGTACTTGTTACTTTTATTTGAGTAATTAAATGATGAAGTATTACTACTAAATTAGATTTTTTTGTTTTACTCTTTTAAAATTTCTGGATTCTCTACTCTGAATGAAAAACATGTTTTAAACAAAAATTCACCAGTGTAGACACATGCCTGCAGTTTTTGTTAAAGTTTCATAAGTTCTGTTTTGAAGAAAAAAAAAAGATTAGGATTTTTTTTTGTCTGGTAATTATAGTATTTATACAAATTATTCTAATTTGGTCTTTTAAAATAATATTTATACAGAGCTTTATGTTTTGGTGTGTCTAATGGTGTAATTTTTAAATATGAATTCATTTATGTTTTGGTTAGTTACTCAGTACTTGAATAGACTTTTCTCCAAGTACTTTTTTACTCTTACTCGAGTAATTTCTTGGACGGCTACTTTTTACTTTTAGTTGAGTAAAAATATGTTGAATTAGTGATACTCTTGAGTACAATTTTTGGCTTCTCTACCCAGCTCTGGTTATTCATAATTTTTTGTAACTCTGCATCTTTTTGACAGCATAATATAAGTTTTGTGACTCTGTAGGTTCCTGCGTCTCCTGGCAGCAGCGCCAGCAGTCTGACTATTGTTACAGCCATCAGCAGCAACTCTGACTCGACAAATAGGTGAGCGTCTCTGTGAATATTATTGATATTTATCACAGAGAGCACTTCCTCCATATGATTTGTGGTGATTTGTTTCTCTGCAGAGCCATGGACGATATCAGTCAGAGTCCCATCAGAGGAGAAAACAACGGCGGCAGCAGTTTGGGACTCTCTGTCGCCACCAGCAGTCCGAGGGCTGCACCTGCAGTTCTGCTGCCCGGACTGGAGAATCTGCAGGTACGACATAACGCCGACTCCTGACTGCTTCTCAGATTTCACTTCCTAATAGAGGAAATTCCTGTTGTAAAAGTTTTAATAAAATGTTTGCATTTAAGATAAAAAACATATTTGTAAATGTGTTTCAGTCAAAACTTTATTCAGTTCAATTTCACTAAAGAATTGCTGTTACTGCATTTTAGGCAATAACATATGAATTCTCTCATTTAAAAATGAACTTTATTAATTGTTTAAATGCGTCTTTTAATGTCTTTCTAATATTGTATGTCAAAGCTTTAGTGGTTAAATTAAGAACCTGGACAATGTGGTAAAAAAATTTGCCTCTAGAATAATCCATTACTAAAATTGTTGTTACAGAAAAGTTCCATGTCCTCCACCTCTTTGATTGAAGCTTTTGGTAATTCATCAATCTGCTTTTGCAAAGTAATCTAAAAGTAATTTGATCTTGAGCTGCAAAACACAAAGGGCTGCAACTAAAGATTATTTTAGTTATTGATTATTCTGACGATTAATGGGAAACGATATTTTTGCCAGGTTCTGCAGATTTTTTTAATTAACCACTTAAGCTTATTTTATAAAATTTAAAACTATAAAAATGAAGACAAACAAATCATTCATTTTTAAAGGAGGAAAATGCATATTTTGTTGCCTGAAATGCAATAGCAGCATTCCTTTAGTGAACGCTTAATCATTTGTACCAAAATATGCATCTGCAGCTTAAAAGTACTTCTGATATCAACATATGAAAAGCTCTGGTGATATTTTTTATTATTTGATTAGTGTTTGGATTGCAAAAAGTGCTTAACAGGATATTTATTTATTTATTTACAGAATGTCATTTATTTAGGAGATGATCAATTTTCTTTGTTTTGACTGTACCGATCATCAGGACAAACAGCTGTCTCCTCTGTTTTCCTCCAGGCTCTGGCTTCCCCCAGTGGCCCTCTGGGCCTCGACTCGCCTCAGGTCCCAGATTCTCCTCTGCTGCTGCCGCTGACCTCGCCGACCCGGGCCCGCTCCCCAGACGTCATCTCCTCCGCCTCCACCGTGATGTCGCAGGACATGCCGGAGATCGCGACGCAGACGCTGCAGCTGCAGCGCAGCCACGGCCTGGAAGCCCTGCAGCTTCCTGCGCTGCAGACGGACAGCATGGCCTCCGCTGCATGTGCTCTGCACCTCCTGACATCGCCGCGCGCCGCCACCAACAACGGGTACAAGCAACCAGGCAGCACTCATTGATTGATTGATTTCTTATTTTCTTTCACTCTTGCTCTTCCTTTCTTTTTATTTTGCTCTTTCTGTTTTTCTTTTGTTTGTTTTTTTTTGTTCGTTCCTTCAGCTTGTTTGCTCTCCTTTTAACTCTTGCTCTTTCTTTCACTCTAGCTATTACTCTTTCTTTTGCTTTTCCTTTCTTTCTTTCACTCTTGTTCTTTTGCTTGTTTGTTTTTTTCTTTCATTCACTTTTTTTCCCTTCTTTCTTCTGCTCCTTTTGTGTTTTTCTCGCTCTTTTTCTCATTCTTTTGCTTGGTCTTTCTTTCGCTCTTTTGAAACTCAAATATTTCAGCAGAACAAATCCAGAAAAAACAAACATAACTAAAAACATAAAAATTCCAACACAGATATTTTGTAAAACTCAAGTATTTGAAAACGAGGCAGGAAGAATCATTGACCTGTTTATTATTAATGTCTATCGTAATAAGTCAGAACCAACCGAGTTGTTTTCTTTCTCTTGTAGTTTGTTGCCCCTTGAACTCGGAGGTGCTGACGGCTCGTCGATGGCGGACGATTCGGAGTCCAGACTCAGTAACAAACCGTCTCTTCTGGAGAACACGTTGTCGCAGGAAAACACTGGGGTCAGTGGAGGGTCGTCGGATGGCAGCGTTAGCCACACGTCATGGCCGGCGGCTCCAGACATCACCAGGGAAACCAGGAACAGCCTCAGGGACAACGGGCTGGGAGAATGGTCAGTCTGTTTCATTCCCTTTGTTCAATCTTTATGAAAAACTAAAGACAACACGGCTCATCGGACAGAAAATAGGATTTTTCTTTCCATCACTTTATGTCCCAGAGTCTGTGAATCCACTGGAGATAACCTAACAGGTTTTTTTTTGTCTGAATGCTGCTTCTCTATGTTTGGTTCTGGGTATGCAGAGCAGAACCAGAAGACCTGAGGGGTCTGGAAGGTTGATACAACAGCAGCAAATCTTCAATGTATTGTGGTGATAAGCTGTTCAGTGATTTATAAACTAACAAAAGTGTTTTAACATCTATTCTCTCTTTGGAAGGACTGTAGAACTGGGTGATGTTCTCTATCTTCCTGGTTTTAGTCAGAACACCAGCAGCAGCGTTCTGGATCAGCTGCAGCTGGAGGATTGATTTTTATAGTCAGACCTATGAAGACTCTGCTGCAGTAATCGATGCGACTAAAGATAAACGAGTGGATGAGTTTCCTAGATCTTGCTGCTACATTAGTCCTCTAATCCTAGAAATGTTCTTCAGGTGACAGAATGCTGACTTTGCAACTGTCTTTATGTGGTCTTTAAGGTTCAGGTCAGAGTCCATCACTACACTATAGACAAACTTCTTTTAGCCTCTTATTGGGTTTATATATCTGATTGGCTGGTTTGGCACCACGTTATTTTCATCTGACTTTCATGTTTTTAAAAAAAAAAAAAAAGAAAAAAAAAAAAGAAGCTTCACGACATTTGTCCTTTAACCTGGAGATGTTGCTCAGGTGATAGAAGGCCAACTTTGTAACTGTTTTCATGTGGCTCTGAAGGTCCAGATCCAGGTTGCCTGATCTGTAGTTTCTTGCTTAATAACTGACTCTAGATCGCTCCTCTTTAGGACCAAAGATAGAAACTTCAAACTTTGTTTTGTACGTTAATTAATTGTTTCACCTGTCTTGCAGTTTGAGAGACGAGTCAAGCGAGCGCCGCTTGAGCTCTCCCTACCACCGGCGGTCCTACCACCTCGTCCAGAACGACAGCCAGGATGTCGGCGTTGATCAGAGGTGACGCCAAGCTGTGCAGCTTCATTCACTACATGATTACAGAGACTTCCTCTGAAGCTGCGGTCGCTGTTGAAACTTTGACGTTTCTGTGTGCAGCGATCCTGATGACGAGATCGCCAGCCTGGCTTCGTCCTCTGGGAACTGCGGCTCTCGCTCCTCTCACAGGATGCCGGTGAAAGACTGGAAGAGCTCGCCACGAGGCTCACCGAAACTGAAGAGGAAACTCAAGAAAGATGACAAGTATGTTCGAAACTAAAAAAGCAAAATGTCTGCTTGATTATTTCTCTGTTTCTTGACTCTAAAACTGCATATTTCTCTTTAAATGGTGCTAAAGTTGTAATGAAAATGGATGCAGCAGTTAGGGAAATGTTGCTTACACATTTTGAGGGACGTTTTCTCTCATTTCCAGTGAATCTTCTCAGCCCAGGCACATGGATCCCGGTCAGGTACAGTTGGCTAGTAACTTGTTAAATTTAATTAATTACATCTACTTTAGTAAATTCTTTGACAAAATATACTTTTAGGATTATTTTTGCTATGTTGTACTTTTATTATGAAGTATCTCTGCTCTTATTTGAGTAAAATTTCTGGGTTTTCTAGCCACGAAATGAAAAACAAAAATGTTTTAACCAGACACAGACGCACACCTGCTGTTTTTATTAAGTCATTTAAAACGTGTGAAAATGATTTGGAAAGATTTTATGTTGTCTGATTTTGTTATTTTGTTGTTACTTATATGAATTATTGTCATTTTTGTCCTTAAAATACTAAACTTTTCACTTAAATGTGTAATTTGGTCCATCTTCAGCTGCTTCTCTCGACCCACTAGGGGTTAATTTCTGCCTGAAAAACTGATCTGATTTGATGCTAAAACAAAGTATTATTGTGTTCACGTCGTGCTAAAAGGAGTTAGCCTGTCAGAGATGCTATTCAAGCCTAGAAATGGCATCTCAATGCTGCCCATGCAGCAGTAGCAAAGACGCTCACGCTAATGTTGGTGTCCACAAGTTTAGTGGATAGAATAACACTTTGCACCAAGCTGATGGCTGAATAACCTAAATGACAGATTAAGGTCATATGTCTAAATTTACCAGCAAAAAGGGTTTTTGAATTGAAAATTTGCTTATTTTGTTACGTTTTGAATAAAATGCAACAAAATAATTACAGACTTCTATTTGGTGTTCTGCAGTTTAACACAGAGACTCAGGATGAGCTCCTGATGCTGCTGCGCAGCCAGCAGAGGGAGCTAGCGGATCTGTGTTCTCTGGTGGAGACCATGCCGGGAACCATCATGGCGCAGGTGGAGCACGTTCTGATGAAGCACCAGGAGCAGGAACGTATCCTCCACGCGTTTCTTCCTCTAACATGAGGCGCTGCATTGTGTTTGCTGTGAGGTTTGTCTGTCTGTCGTTGAGCCTTGACCCTCTGTGGCCTCAGAGCGCAGACTGGACCGAGCTCTGGCCGAGAATCAGAGCCGCCAGCAACAGCTTCACGAGCAGCTGAGCCAGCAGCTGAGCCACGCCCTCAGCACGGCGCTGACCAACAGGATGGACAAAGTCCTGAGAGAGGAACTAAAGAAAGCAGTTCCGCAAAGTAAGCTAATCGTTGTATCATAGCAACTGACCGCAACGCCACTTTATGGTTCTGAATCCAACATCAAAAACATTTTCCACACAAAGAACAGAACATTCAGTCAATTACAGTTTTATGTTTTCAGGCTTGATGTTTATTTTACTATTATTAATAAGTGATCACTGTGATTAGATTAGCTACCACTGCTATTAGCTAAGCTAACAGCGGTGGTTGATTTAAACCCCTGCTCTGCTGATGATCTGTCTAAGTTGATGTTTAGTTCGCCTTTTATTTTATTTTGTAACTGAACCAAAACACACCGAATTCCACATCACATTTACATGTTATGGATGTCAAAGTCAAGGTAGCATAACTGAGCTGCTTCCCTCTCCCTCGCTCATTAAAACTATCATGCATATATTCAAAATTAAGCAATAAAACCAATGCTAGTCCTTGTCAGCCAGCAGCTATTTGCCCTCCAGCTGGAAGCTGGTGGCGGGATCTTGCATGTGTCACATCACCTTGCAAGGGATCCATAGTAGCACAGTCAAACAATTTAAAAAAAATAATACAGTAGTTTAATTATTATTCACCATGCCTAATTTTGCAAGCTTGAAGTGTAAATTTGCGTGCAGTTATGCAAGCCGTCTTGCTGCATTCCAACCAATTAAAATGTAAGCAATTGTCAGTTTTTTTTTTTGTTTTTGTTCTTTTTGTTGCAAAAAGCAGGTAATGTAATCTCCAGTTAGCAACATCAACTAAGGGAACCTTACTCCACTACACATGCATACAAATAGTAGCAAACTTGTTCAGGAAACAACTGTCAGATGAGATAGATTTTATTTTCTAGTTTTTCAGTCTCCCGCTCCTTTCTGATGCCGACTGGGCAGGCGGCATAATGTAATATTTTAATAATTGTAACATTATCACTTTTTTCTCGTAATTAAAGGAAAAAAATCACAGTGTGCCCCTAACGTTTAAAGTCTGAATAAATAGAAGCTGTAAAACCTCAAACAAGATGGCCGTTCTGGGCGCGCTGACATCACCATGAGCCATGGAAAGAACTGCAGTGGAGGAAAAACAAATCCAGCTTTTCCAAAATTTAAATCTTCAAAAGCCAAAAATTTGATTAATTAATCAAATCGATTTGTGGCTCAGCCCTACCTGAGTTCTTAAAAAAAAAAAAAAAAAACTTTACACGATTTGAAAATATTAACATGAAGATTAGTAACGACTTGATCTCAATAAACTGAAATTGATTGTATGCAAACCCTAAAATATAGCAGTATAGTTGGTATTTTTGCTATTTTTATGGCATCAATAAATTCCAGGAAAGTCATAAAGTTGCAGTTTGCTTTGCCAAAGTGGTGCATTAAAGCAGCTTCTGCTTTTATAAGAAGCAGTATTTGTATTTGTGGGACTAAAATCAGTGAATTTTTAAAGACGACAAAAAGCACAAAATATTGTGATAAACTTTAAATCTGTTTAACCCAGCCCTGGGTAAAATGCAGCAGTTTTTTGTTTTACTGTTTTCCAGGCGATCTGTGAAATATTTTCTGGTTTTCTGGCCTTTTAAGACGTTAAGGAAGCTGTAACTTCACGGCTTGTTTTGAACACTTTGTAGTTTTATTCCAGTCATTTTTTTGTCATAATTTTACACTAGGAATCTGGGTTTTTGAAGTGTTTTCTGACCAGAAGAGCGAGATCCAGTTTTCCTTCCAGAACCCGATGGCAGCTAGCTGATGGCAGCGCATGGCTGCATTAATCTTACAGCAGATAATGAACTGCATCCAGGAAGCATTTAAAATAAATTCACATGGTCACTGATGAGCTGCTTTTTTGTTTTGTCACTTTGAAATGCTCCGAGTCAAAGTGCAGAGCAGGCTGTGCATCAATAAATGATGCTGTTATTTAATGCTTGAGATAATTCTGAGCGTAAGTAAAATTAAATATAGCAAAGAGCGCTGAGGTGTGTTGATGTCGGACTAAAACGCTGTCGTCTCTGGAGAAACGTTTCCCCGCCTCGCACTCAGAGTAGAAAAGTCTTTTTTTGCTCGTCTAATTATAGACACGCTCCTGCTAATCTTTCCCCCTACTTTCACTTTATTTGATATTTTCCAGCCATTTCTAAGAGTCTGGAGCCGGTGACGGGGCAGCTGAACAACTCGATCGCCGCTAAGATGGCCGCCGTGGAGGTCACGATTAAGGACATCGTCATCAAAGTGGTTAAATCCAAGGTAGACCAACCAGTTTCATCACCTCTTATTGTTTAGTTCAGGGGTGGCCAAAGTGCGGCTCGCGGGCCAGTTGTGGCCCTCAACTGCACTTCAAAAATGATACACATTTGCAGATTGAGAGTTTTAATTTGCAATCAGGGTAAAATTATTACCAACATAATTCTCTTACAAAGTTTTCATGTTTTTATAACCAAGATTTAAGAAAAGGTAAAACCATGTGATCCAGAGAGTTTTCCTCAAAAGCTTGACTTCTGAAACTCAGAAAAATTCAAAGTTTTTTTCTAGAAAATTTCTGAGATTAATCACTAAATTTATTAAGTTTTTTGGTAGAAATCTACACCTTTTATCTTTTTTTTTTTTTTACTTACGATGCCCCTAATACATTGTCATAAAATCTACAATAAGTAACATTTTTGGCCCATGTGGCACAAAGTTTGGACAGCACTGGGTTAGTTCTAACTTGTCGTGTGTTTGGATCAGAACACTACGGACGCCATGGGCCGGGCCGCGGCGGAGGCCATGCAGGGCCCCATCCAGGCCGCCTACAAAGACGTCTTCCAGAGCACAGTGCTGCCCGTGTTTGAAAGAGGCTGCCAGTCCATGTTCCAGCAGATCAACGACAGCTTCAAGCAGGGCACGCAGGACTGTAAGGCCGCACAAATTAACACTGTGGACTGCTCACAATCTGTAACTTTCACCTTGAAAGGCATCACCTCTACATCCATGATTTCACTCAGTGTCTTAAAGGGTCAGTGTCATGTAAAATCAACTGGTTTTTTTAGCTTTACATCATTTTATGTTTTAAAAACAATGGCAACAATTCAGCTGTGAAAAACATCTAGTTGGACATTCAAGTCACAGCTCTTCCCCTGCTCCTTAAGACTAGCCAGCAGCGATTAGCAAATACTTTGAGGAACTGCCGTCATTATAGGAGCTACTGCTCAGTTTAACGCTGGTAAATACATTGATAAAGGGTTAATAAAGGAGCCAGAAGAGTTTCAGAAAGGGCAGGAGTTTTAAAGAGACAGAGGCCCAATTTCAAGGTGTTCAGTCTCTTTTAACTCATGTTTGATATATGCAGCATTTTTGTGACAATTGAATTTAACATAGTTAATTGATTGTGCTATAAAATGCCTGGAAACACGTGACACTGCCTCTTTAAGCGTAGTTGACTCACATTTATTGAAGTCAATAAATATTAGATGAAAAACCTCAAAACGAAAAGCACAAAAGCAGCTATGACTATTTTATTCAACACAAAATAAACACACTGTATACAATTACCAACTTCCTAAACAGATTTCTGTACTTTTAAAACTCAGATATTTTTCAAAAATCTATTAGTATATAATAATACATAGTAACCCAGTATTTTTGACCAAATATATCAACACATTTTTATCCAACTTTATATTGTCAAAGTGCCTCTAGCCAATATTTATGATCATTTTAAATATTTTATTTTAATATTTTTTTATATAAATTATTTCTAAAACAACTTAACAAGTATTCAAACCATATGTGTGTGTGCGCGTGTTTTTGTCCCCATTTTAGCTAGACCTTAGACAACCAAGTGCAATTTTTAGGCTGTTTTATTTTATTTTATTTTTAAATCTGACCTGTTTGATTATAATTCGCCCAACTCATTTTTTGCCAAAGGTAGAAATTTTTATTTATTTATTTTTTCCAAAATCTCTTTTTATTTTAATAAGGGGACAATTAAAAAACTGTTCAACAGTGCAATCAAAGTCGACCATGTATGGATTTTGTTTGCTCTGCTGGTGCTCCAGTCATTGAAGGTCATTGAAATATTTTCCAGGTCTGAATGAGTATAGAGTGAGAAAATGGGGGGAAAATATTTCTATTTTCTTTAACACATCCATTTTTTCTCTTTGAAATATCTGCCATAAATTCACAGTCAAGTTTATTTTTTGTTATTTATAGTCATAAAATGTGGCCGATAAAGCTCTGGCAAGAAAAGAAAAAGCTTTTCCACCCGCATTGTTATCCTCAGTGTTGAGTTCAGGCTCTGTATTGAAGTTCTTTGTGTTTTTCCGTCTGGTTGGTGTCAGGGGTCAGCTGCTCAGTACGGTTCCTCTCGTACTGAGCAGGATTACTATTGCAACAACACATTATCTGAGCACACAGACAGCAGATCTTCTCTATAGGTTCGCCTAGATTGGAGCCTTGAGACTCAAACTGTCTGAATGTGCAGAGAAGCATCCCACGTGTCTGCAGAGTCAAACACTTCCTCCGTTTTACGGTAAAGTTACGCGTTGGAGAAGTCTGGATTTTCTTTCCTTTATTTTTATTATCCTTTTTTTTTTTGATGTCCTGCGGCTTTAAATTCAGGCTAGAAAGGAGGAAGACAAGGTGACACGAGATCCTGCGATGGAGTAATGTCTGTTATGAGCAGTCTCTGAAGTTTAATCCACAAAGATTGGGGAGCGCACACCTCTTCCCATTTAAATGTAGTCAGTGTGGAGTGATTAAATATTGACTGAAGCCGCAGCATTAGCATCAGAACTGCTGCATCACTTCAGGCCTGACGCAGCTAACGCTTACTGCATCATATGGTTGCAATTATTTCACATAAAAAAGGTCATTTGACGGATAGCAGGACACAAAAGCTATAAACAGGCTGTGCAGAGCGAGAGTTCACCTATTGAAATTAACAACTAAAGACTGGTGTACCTACATTTAACAAAATAAAGTGATCAATATTTCTTTTCCAAAAGTAAAACAAAAATGAGAATTTTTTATGTTTTGTTTCACATCTAAACCCAGTTCATGAACACTGGGCCCAGTTTTAAGCCCAGTAAAAAGTGATCTTTATTTATTTTTGTTTTTCTTATTTCTGTATTAAAAAAATATGCTTTTTTATTGTTATTCATGTATGTATTTAAGTAAAATTATATTTTGTATTTAATTATCGTTTATTATATATTTTTTTGTTTTTATACGTTATTTGTTTTTATTTTGTAAGTAAATGGACATAAGGCCAAAATAAGCTATGGAAAAGTGTCAGAGTTGACACCTATTAACACAGATTAAATAACACAGGAAAGACAAGAGAGAGTTAGATTCTGAATACTCGCGAGGAGAACAGACAGAGATGTGCTTCCAGTTACAAATCTCCTACTGCTCTGAAAGCACATTTGCCTGCCCCTCTCTTTTTATTGTCTTTAGGATCCCTGATCACAGAGAGCGCTGCAACTCTAAAGGGAGGGGAAAACACTTCACACAGTTACAGCACCAATGATTATCACTAACTAACAATACAATCTATCTCACCCTAGCTTATCTAGTTCCTGACCCAGGATCAAACAGGACAAGTTGTGAATCGGCGATGGTTTTATAGCTATCTAACAGGTCAAAGCAGGGCGTTCTGTGAAGAGCTGCTGTCTCTGCTCTTCTTCAGAGGCCCTCTGAGAAAGGAAATCAGAATGATTAACAATACATTTCTTAAAAGATATGAATAAAACAAATAAGAGTACATAAAGTAAGAACATAATAAAAGTATAACAAATAGTTGATAATACTACAAAATACCTAACAAAAAGCCTTGCTGCTGTTTTTTTGTATTTAAGAAAGCCTGTTGTGTCTCTTGGTAATTAAAAAAATGATTCATAAAATTAATATTAAAAAATGATTAATGGTTTGCGGGGTAAAAAATGCAAATTGTGTAGTGATAAACCAAAACTAATGGTCCCCATCTGGATGTAAATTAATGCAAAAATGCAGAATTTCAGAGTTTTAGCTTTCAGATAATGAAATAAGATATAAAATGTGGAAAGTCTGACATATTTTTCACACTTATTTATCACAGCTCATTTTAGGATTTAGGGTAAAATATTATTTACTTTTTAAAAAGTTTTCTTGTGTAGTTTATTAACTTCAAACACCTCAGCAACTAAAAATGTTTCTAATAAATCTAATTTATCAAATCTTTGAAGCATCTATTAGCTTAAGCTAAACTTAAAACGTTTAAGTTTGAGTCCTGTCACTCAGCATTACCATGACAACCTGCTCTGAGCAGAGAGGAGTGTGTTTTTCTGTTACTAAGTTGTGTTTTCTCTGCAGACATCCAGCAGCTGGAGGCCCACCTGAAGAGTCGGAAGCAGAGAGAGCAGGAGGCGCGGGACCCCGTGATCGGCCAGCTGCAGCAGGCGATCGACGGCTTCCAGAGCTGCACCGATCAGCTGGCCAGCAGCGTCTCTGCCGCCGTACGAGCCGAGGTCCAGCACCAGATGCAGGTGGTGGTGGGGAAGTACGTACCTGTGCTGCAACCGAGACGCGCCGCCTTTAAAAACACTCCTAGGGTTTTCTGAAGTATGCTTGGAACAACATAACCAAATCTAATTTAGTTTTTCTCAGCAATTACAAACTTTGTTTCAATAGTTTTGGTACCAAAATAAAGCAAACATGAGAAGTGTAAGCGTCACAGAAAATGAAGATGGAACATAAATAATTTGGATTTTTTTTGTCCCTCACCAGAATTGTCTTTGCCTCATACATTATATAAACCTTTTAGATGGAGCTGCATTAATTGCCGTTTTCTAGCTGATCACCAATTCCAATTTTGGCCAATATTTTTTTTTTTTTTTTTGGTAAATGAAGTTAATTTATAGAAGTTTCAATAAAAAAATAAAAAAAAAACATACCTACATTAACAATTTATTGTCCAGCAATATTTATGTATGCTAGGGGTAATGTGTGGTAACGGACTGCATTAAATAATAAAACTGAGTAAAAATAATATATCTCAATCGTGGGACTAATGTAAGAACATAAATTTGATATGGTCTCTTGTTTGCCAATTCATTTCCCAGCCTCAGTAGTTTATAGATGAGCTAGCTACTGCGCTAATAGCTCCGCATTCAGGCAGTAACTCTGTCTCCTCCAGTCTGCAGGACTCCATCCTGAGCCAGTTGCAGCGCATCGTGAAAGGCGAGGTGAGCCTGGCGATGAGGGAGCAGCAGGCCGTCGTCACCTCCAGCATCATGCAGGCCATGCGCTCCGCTGCCGGGACGCCCGTCCCCACCGCACACCTGGACTACCAGTCGCAGCAGGCTAACATCCTGCAGCTGCTCCAGCAGGGCCAGCTCAACCAGGCCTTCCAGCAGGTACCGACTCGACCCAGACACCACAGGTCACACTAGACATCTTTGTTGTCCGTCATTTTGACTGACGGCGCCAAAAATATTACATCATATTCTATTATTATCTGTCGGTTTTTAAATGTTATTGACATAGACTGTTTTGATGCCTTTAATTTTTATGCGGTTTAATATTCAGCACATTAAACAGACAATCCAGATCCCATCATACATTAATCAGGCAGATGAACTTTTTCACCGCATTGATAACAAAATCACTGATAGGACAATGAAGTGAATCAATTCCACTTAAGTTATGAAGAGAAGGAATATTCTGTCAACACAAACCCTGCCAGTCGCTCTGATGGGCTAAACCGCCGGTGTCCAAACGTTTTGCACCACAGAGCTTTTTCTCTCCTTTGAAAAAAATACAAATATACTATTATTGTGAATTCTCACTCCTTTACCTGCACAACAATAAATTCAACCAGTTACATTTTTTACAGAAACCAACATGAGTCTGAAATATGTCTTAATATTTACATTTATTTAACTTTTTGAGCCAATTATTTTCTATTTTGTCTATTTTTGGTTCATAGCCAGCGGCAGAAACCAGAATTTTCTTTTAAAGCCTTTGTAGTTTGTAGGACAAGTGTGTTTCAGAGTAAAAGTTTCTGGATGTTTTGTGGCTGGGATCTGCTAATGAAAAAAAATTATTTGTTTTGGACATTTTCCTTTTACGATATAAACTCTAAATGAAAATCTCACCCTAAAATATTTTGTCAGTTTTATCTGCCAAATTTGAATCTATTTTCAAGTGCAATCAGCGGCCATACAAACTCATTCCAGGGGCCACAAATGGCCCTCGGGCCACACTTTGGACACCACTGGGCTAAACCGTTTATTTACAGACTAAGCAGGGATTCATTTACTGCAAAAACACAAACTATTACCAAAATTTTGATCTAGGTTTTACTGCAAATATCTTATTAAAATGAGACAAAAGTAAGTTATAAGTAACTTTTCAGCAAGATATAAGAGCTTGATTGAAGTCAATAATTCCTTAATATTGATTAAGTGACTTTCTCATTGGCACATTATTAAACTTGTAACAAGACATTTTTCCCATGATATACATGAAATAATCTTACAAACGTTTTCATCAATATTAGGAATTATTGACTTAAAACAAACTAATATATGTTGCTGAAAAGTTAGTTAAGTTAGTTTTGTCTTATTTTATGTTTACTAAGATATTTGCACTAGAAACTGGATCAAAAATACTTGGTGACATTTTCTGTTTTTGCTGTTTTATGTGTCGTCTCTTCCCTCTGTGCTTTGTTTCTGGAAATGCTTTTAACTGTGAACAAGCTCAGCATTTTTATTTTTGTTTTATTGTTTGTTTGGTTTTTTCCTCCTACAGCTCTTCTGGAAGTTGTTTACAGCTCATCTGGTTTTAAAGTTCCTGATTTTTCCTGTCATGTCTCTCAGCCTGCTGCGGCGGGGAAACATCCTCTCTATAAATGTTTAAAATCTCGACTCGTTCATCTCTAATAGGGGTTAAAATGGTTGTGTTACTTTCAGCCAGGAGCTGCAACTAATGATTACATTCATAATCATAGGCGTAGGAAGCGGGGGGT